GACTGCTGGTCACAAAATCGAAGAAGTCTAGGTGGCATGGGAAACATGATCTGGATTTTAGGAATCCATGTTAGTTCGGACTTATAATGTTGCAGCTAAGCATATGCTTGAGTAAGTTATCTTAACTAGTCTCTTCATAATTCCAGATGCTATGGGTGTGATATTAATCGTCCTGCAGATGTTGACTTCTGTTTTCGAGCCGCATTTGTGTTTAGGCATATTATATGCTGTTTCCCATACATGCGGGTTAGTTTGGGTTTTTAAGGTCATTGTGAAGATTTTAGGCAGTAATATGAGAATGTCAGGATAGCCATATTTATAGACGCATAGATGCATAAAAAGACAGTTGAAATAAATATTTGTTCACTAAAAATTACAATGTACAACGAATATAAACATATATGTCCCAATACACGTACTTTTTCTCTGCCCTCTGGTACATTCCTGTTGTATTTGCCTTGTAGTAGAAGTTGCATTGATCTACATCCAGAATGAAGTTGAGAAACAATTGAAGTCACTTACTCATATATCATCCCTCAAAGTTTGGCTAGTAGTGGCTCAGCATCCTTGATGAAATCCACTGTCACCATAACAAGACGCTGTACAGCATCTTATACAAGCACTGTCAGTGATCTAAAATGGCTTACATATAGCTTTCTACGTGTAACCAAACTTACTAGAACGGATTTACCATGCAGTGACAAATGGCGGGCTCTGGGTGACTTGGGTGTAGTAAAACAAATCTGCTTGACAATGACCAATATTGATCTGCATTCAGTTGAATTCACATCTGGTATTACTTGCAATAAAAATGATGTCAAAATCGCACAAATAAATCACACATTTTAAATTAATACCCAATTTGAACATAAAACAAGAACAAGATACGATGCCGAACACAACAAAGTTATATGGAGGAATTGACTTCAAACTTTATTTTTTCCCAAATATTTGTAATTTATCCGACACATACTTCGGTTTTTTTGATAATGCGAAGACAATATTTCTATAGTTCTTTATGTGCTCCATAGAACGACTGGCTATCAGATTGTACTCACTAACTGATGTCAGAGAGGACAGCAACGATGTAATTTCACCATAATTCAAATTCATGTAATGTAAATAATACTTATCCATGCCCGTACAACTGGTGTGTCCTACATAGATAGGAAATATATATGTATAGAAATACGATGATATGCGGTCAGTGCCAAAACCTTTGGAGCTTTTGAGAATTCTATTAGTTAGGTTAATGTTAGCATCAGCGAATTCTACGATGCTAATTTGTTTTGTTGTAGGTAGCTATGGAAGTTATCATATTAGTAGTAGGGTGCATGGGACTGTAGGCTTAAGGTAGTTAGCTGCAAATGTTTTGTTGAATGATTCACACATTTCTGCACAGTCGGTGTATAGCATACCTTATCTATGGGGAGAGAAATGCTGTGATTTTTGCGATTCAATCGCTCCCCTAGGATTTCTGTGGGAGCATACACCTTAGAAGGACTGACTAATGCAGTGCGTTCTGCGTTCCTAATACGCAAATCTCGAGCTTGCGAGATCGAGCTAAGAGAGTTAAGTTATAAACCTAGTGTGCCAAAGTCGTGTTGTTTGAAGTAACTTGTTGAGAGTCTCTTCAGTTTCGTACGATCCTTTAGTTTTATAAATGAATTTCTATGTGGGGAAACCTTTCGAGTGGAATAGCAACATCTAAGTATGTTTCAATTCTGGTAGAAGATGCTCAGAGCTCTCGAGAGGTCATCAGTAGGGAAGTATTCGGTAATTCAGAGTATCTTAGCATTTATTCTGCGAAAGCCCAGTTTGCCTTACTACAGTTCCTATATATTACTTGTTGTGAATTGGAGGTATAAGTTGCATTGCTACTCAGTGGAAGTGGCAGTGCACACATCACTGAAAACTTAGAATCCACTAAGGTTGAGAGGGGACTTATATCGTGGCAGAATACTAAATCGAGTACGTTGTCACCTCTTGTAGGGATAGTGACAGTTTGTTTGCAGCCGAAGATGTTCAGTGTGCCTAAGAGCTTGTCATATTTAGCTAGACCTGTTAATAAACCCCAGCTGATTTCGGGTAGGTTGAAGTCTCCACATATGATCTTATGCTCATATGGGAGAGTAGATACTTGCTCCAGTGCATCTAGGACATCTAGTACATCTAGTACAAGTTGCATTGATCTACATTCCGACTGAAGCTGAGAAACAATTGAAGTCACTTACTCATATATTATCCCTCAAGGTTTGGCTAGTAATGGATTAGCATCCCTGGTGAAATCCACTGTCACCATAACAAGACGCTGTACAGCATCTTATACAAGCACTATCAACGATCTAAAATGGTTTTTATATAGCTTTCTACGTGTTTATCAACTTACTCGTACGGAGCAACCATGCTGTGACAAATGGCGGGCTCTGGGTGACTTGAGTGCAGTAAAACAAATCTGCTTGACAATGAACAATATTAATCTGCATTCAGTTGAATTCACATCTGGTATTACTTGCAATAAAATGATGTCAAAATCATAAAAATTAATCACTCATTTTAAATTAATACACAATTTGAACATAAAACAAGATACGATGCCGAACACAACAAAGTTATATGGAGGAATTGACTTCAAGCTTTATTTTTTTCCCAAATATTTGTAATTTATCCGACACGTACTTGGGTTTTTTTTGTTAATGCGAAGACAATATTTCTATATTTCTTTATGTGCTCCATTGAACAACTAACTATCAGAATGTGCTCACTAACTGATATCAGAGTGGACAGCAACCATGTAATTTCACTATAAATCAAATTCATGTAATTTAAATAATACTTATCCATGCCTGTACAACTGGTGTGTCCTACATTGATAGGAAATATATATTATTATTATAAGTTGTGTCTCATAATGCCTAAAGTTGCCAGGTGCTCTGTAGATACATCCTATTATTAATGTAGCACTTTTAAAGTGTACGTTGACCCATAGGGTGTCGTGCATGTCATTGAGCTCCCTATTTTCTAGCTGTAATACAGTAAGTGTGTTCAGGAAGTACATTGGGCAGCCTCGTCCCTCAATACCGTTCCTGTCGCACCGAGAGCGTGCATACCCATCGATGCTTATCTCTTCGTCTGGTATATTGGAGTGACACCAGGATTCGGTAATAATAATTATCGGGGGATCTGTATACCAGCGTGTGTGCCCTGAGCATCGGTAGTTTGTTTAGGATAGATCTAGCAATAATAAGGATTAGGTAAATTTGAGAGTTGAAGTAGTGTTTGAAGTGTTCAAGCCCGTTAATCATGCTCAAGCGTGAGTTTTATTATTGGGTTCACTATATGGTGAGGCAGTTATAGGCTTGGGTAGGTTAGGGACTTGGGTAGGAGTTCTTTTTGGCACATATTTGTACAAGCATTGGATGCGATTAATAATTCCGTGTGCACTAACCTGTGTCTGTTTTCTTCTTGATAGGGAGCCGAAATTAGTGGTGCACCTTCAGAAGAGTTGACATCCCCACCAGTTGTTTGGTCAGCGCTGACGAGAATGCTGCGGATAAAATATCATTGGTACCTTGCGATGCCCATGACTTATTAATCTGCCTATTGTTTGGAGACATTCTAAGTGTCCCTAAATGGGTTTCCTTATATACATTGCTGCGCTGTGATTTAATTCCTAGCAGACTTATGCCATATATTCCGTCAAACTTTGTTTGTGTGTCATACTTTGAAGACCCAGAGTGGTTGTTGGCTGAGCTCTGAGTGTTGCCCCTCGTACCATTTTTCGTGATGAAGTTACTGCACCATCTGTTAGTGTGACTCGGCATGGTATGCGAGCAAGTTCTGTCGTTATTGTCCGTGACAAATAAGGTATAGTTTCTACTTGGTTCCTCGTTCAACCCTTCTGAGTTCCTTAGTCACTTACATCTGAAATAAAATAACACGTTGTGGAGGCCCTACGTCTTTATCTTACAACGAAAAAGCGAACACAAGGGAATCAATTTACTTTACACTAGCTCTTAAAAACGACACTGAATTTAGGATATTGGAAGACGAGTAGATTAACTGGTTAAACTTGTTCAGACAGAATAAGCAGAGTAGGAAATGTACAGAGAGTGGTCCAGACTGTTGATTTTAGCATCCTAAGTGTCTTACTCTAGCACCTGTGTATCACCTTCCTTTTTTACCTTCCAATAACGCAAACTTTTGTAATTCCTGCGCGAAGTTGACAGAGATTAAAATTTACACTTAAACCAATCTCTTACAACTTATTTCATTAAAAGTAAACATTACAAACTTCCTATGTAGTTTCTAGAATTTTTTCTATTTTGATGTCTTGAAACAGTGTTCAATCTAAAACTGCACTTATCAAATATGACCGTACGTGTACAAATGGTATGTCAATCATGTAAATACTTATTTTATTTGAATAAAATATTATTATTAAAATTAGGTGGACAACTTCTGAGTCGAACGCAGAGAGTCACACAAGTCGCACAATGATCGACAGAATAAAACTATATTTTTCAAGTAGTATTCGACGGGGAATATTACGGTCTCTAGCCAAAAATAAAAACTGTATAATTGCGGACACATCTTCAATAAGTGATAATAATCCCAAAGCTGATTTACAGAAGACCTTCCAAAAGATTGGCATACTTTGTTTAGCGTCAGAAAACTGATTATCTGCCGTCGCTTAATATTAATCTTGACACTTAACGACAAGCGAAAAGTTATAGATGAACAGAGAAATTCCCAAATTAACACTGGAATTAGTTTTCTTCCAGTTCCTGACATCACATGTGAATGAAACAAAAGTAAGCCACTATGTGAACATTAAGTCGCCATGTCAGTCCAAACATACTGGATAGGAAGCCGTATCACAGTAAAGAAGTAAGCCGAGTTCAGCTTTCAAGTTAAAGCACAATGATAAATTAGTTACTTTGAACCCAACAGTTGATAAATGAGACATGAGATGTGAACCGTTTGTTTAAACTATCTGATGGATGTACAGCTTTTCAAGGTCTTTGAGCGTCTTTTTGATTAGGCGTCTAGGAAATGGGAGCTGCTTATACGAAAATTGTGAATTATCTATATATTGTGGAACATGGTGAAGCCACATCGGATTCTAACCTTAAGAAAGCTAAGATAACATGTACACTATCATCAACACGAAAACCAGCGAAAGCTGTATGTTTATTTTTTTGAAATTATTTCGATTAAGAGTCCATACTGGAAACATATTGAGCTAAATAAGTCAAATGAAGAGTCGCTGAAAGTTAATTTAATGGCCGGAGCAAGATTCATCCACGAGTCCAGATGTGGTCGTGAAAATATCGCTGTGATAATGTAAGTGAAAATGCTCATTTTAAATTCTGTTCTATCGAAGAGAGTTTCTATACAGGCCATGAAATAATTTGGTTGATAGCGTTTATTTAAGCGTGTTTAAAACTAGTCTTTTAGACAATTTTTCAGTGGGATCGAGTTATAACTCGATCCCACTGAAAAATTACTAATTAGTAATTAATTTGCAAGTGTAAAAGTGTAATATAAAAATGAATACTATAACTTTGTTGATACCGTATTCTATGGAGTGATCAATGTTATTTCTGCTAAAATTCCTGTAGCATTGTACAGCGATTATAATTACAATCAAATGGGTGTTGCTCTTATGTTTGACTTGTAAGAATGTTGAGAATTTTTTAACAATGGCTATCAGTGAGTTTTAGCAAACAGCTGAGCGTAATCTGTCAGATTTCACAATCATTTTCTGAACTCTGTACTAAAGAATTACACGAAAAATCACCGAGCCTTTAATCTTAAAACATTTCAACAATTAAAATATGCACCTACTTTGAAGGACTATGGTGCTGTTTTCTATACTTTTTATTCTTGATTGTTTTTACGGCTGACTTGTAGAAAACCTGTTAAACCAAAAAGCATTTTATTTTTGTAAGGTTTCCTAAACGATTATAATTCTAAACTAATCTTCAACTTTTGTTACTAGTACATTTCTGGGTGAATATTTACCCATATTAAAAAAAATAAATCTGAAGTGGTAAATAAATGTGAAATAGATATTTCCCTATAGTTAAAAGTTTGTACTGACAGTCTGTTTTTACCGTACAAGATACAGATATTAACCAAACCAAATAGTTTTTCAACAAACTACCGTTTGACGAGGGTTTTGAAGTCATAATTTCTGGCACCCCATAAACATATCAAAATTTAGTACTTAAACTGAATTCCAGCTCAAATGTGTTTTAGTATATGCAAGACCATATATATTTCCTATTAAAGACTCTCAGCAAACCAATCAATTATATTTAAAGTTATGGACAGAAAATATTTTGTTAATTAACTTGCCTGGACACAGGATGATTTCCTCAAAGTATTTTTATGCTGATACAGAGGCGTTTTATAAATATTTCTACCTTCCAAAATTTATCCGCCTAAATAAAGTTATTTGATGTATTCATTAATGAAAAAATCCTTACAGTCAGACATTAAATTTATTCTGTAATGTATATTACTGTGGTCATCAGTCATCATAGATTAAGACTTTCCAGACTTATTTGGTGAAATTAGATGTAATATTGTACCAAATACTGAAAATTCCATACTGTAACATTAGTACTGTTTGGTAATAAATCAAATTATTATTATAGTTCCAAAAACGACGGAACATTATTTATTTCGCACCAAATGTATACTGCACACTGTTACGTAGTGCTTTGAATAAAAAGTGTGCTCCGTAAAATTACCTTATTTTCCTGTCTTAATTTATTAAGGCAACGTGAATAAAACATAATGAACTTTGTCGATTGTTTTTAAGATTACGAAGCTAATCAGACATTTACATGTGATAAACTGCCTAATATTTAACAGATGCTCAAGTAATTTAATCATTACTTGATGTTTCTGTGTGACTAAAGCTTCAATCAAATTACGGTATTACAACACCAGTTTCAATTTTAATTTATATGCATTCAGATAGCGACATACGGGGTAAATAATTTGCTTTTCATTCAGAAACGCAGTCATTATTAAGTAGTTAGTGTTGGATTGCAAGTACAAAGTGTTTAAACCAACAGCAACTTATCAGATATTCAAAGTTAGTTTTTAGCAAGTTTCCTTGTATAATAGTATTGTCTCAGTTTATTTGCAGCTGTCGCGATATGTGACTCAGGTTAGGCAGTTTCAACGAATGATCACGATAAGTATGCCTACAGTTGTAGAACCTTAAATTTAGGTGAAGCTTACTGTGGTAAAATAAATCATAATTATTTTGATTATACAGTGCACTGCCCCGATGGGTAAATATTCTGTTTCTTCCATTTGACAGTCATCCGCCAAATAGAAGTTCTGGACCAGAATACCAACTAATATTTGTCACTTAGTTAATTTTTATTGACCTTTAGCTCCAGAAAAATTGTGCAGTTTTTTCTTAACTCTCATTATGACATGCCAATGAAGTGGAATGTGTCAAATTATAGGCTTTTGAGACTAACTGTGCTGATGCTTTTGAGTGAGTTCGTCTGTTTTTCACAACGCTCCAGGTCATAAAAGTCTGGAATAAAGGATTTTATTTATTTACGTATTTAGTAGCAAACACTTATTGGTGGGTGATTAGAAGTGACACTCCGTTTCTCCTCCAAAGTATCCTTTATAAATTGGAATATTAAACAGTGGGCTACAAAGATATTCTTATTCGTGATGTCTTATTTTCGGGGAAAACAAAATACTTCCACAACGACAAAAACAATAATAAGTGACTTCAGAGAAAGATTTACTAAAAACATGTGTTTTAACACCTACTGTTAGAAAATATTATACCTTTTTATGTGTGCGTTGCTTTTGAGGATTCCTAACTTATGATTCGACTAAAATTACTAATGTGGCAGTGTCAAATCCACGTAAAAACCGATTGGTTTATTGTAAATTAGTCCACCTTAGTTTACGTTCAAAGTTAAAATAGATTACTCCATTTCATGCCTGGATTTTTATCAAATTTATAATTTTCAAGAGTTGATTTGTAAGGATTAGATTTGTTTTTCGACTTTGATCACGGATTGATATCAGTTAGAGAACCACTGAAAATCAGGAGACATTGGACAGCTGTTTCACCCTAGTTTAGGAATCACCGGCAGTACGCACCCACAGCGTGGGTTTCGAAGCCAGGACCTTCTGTTTACAAGATAATCTTGTATACCATTCTAGTGAGAATTCGTGACCAGTGAGGTCCATCCAGTAGGGAATGTGGATGGATTTCTCCCCGATGACATTGGTTGGTGGTCACACTTAAGTCACGATTTGGCAGGAGCTAGAATTCATAAGTCGTTGAATCTGACCTCAGTGTGTGAATGGTATACGAGCTTGTCTTGTAACCGGAAGGTCCTGGCTTCGAAACCCACTCTGTGGGTGCGTACTATCAATGATTTCCAAATTAGGATGAAATAGCTGTCTAGTACTCCACTACTGGTTTTCAGTGGCTTTATAACTGATATCGATCCATGGTCAAACTGGAAAAACGTTTGTAATTACTAAATTGAGCCTACCTCTCTTCATTTTAACCCGCTAGGTTATGTTAGTCGACGTAAGATTGGATGGAGGAAACTTTTAGTGTAATCAGATCAAGATGTAGAAAAAAATCCTCGAAAAATGAGTTTAAATTACCTAACTGAATTCTATATTAAAACTTATATATACAAACTGTGGGTGGAATGATGTAAAACTGATTTCAGAGGTTCAGATTTATTTATGTCTTACCTTCACACTAATGGTAATGCCACAATTCCTTATTCTGTCTACCCTTTATTCTTATTTTAGGCAGCACTTAACCTTGTAATTTAAGACATTTCTTAGTTAGCTTATAGATGACCTGCGATAATTGGAAGTACTATGTATTGATCCTAGATCCTGTGTTAATAACATTACTGGCGAATTTCAGGTATTACAGTCGTAGTCACAGTCTGCCGAAGTTGACTCTGAAAGACCAATCCAATCGATAGGATGCTTCGAAAGGTCATTCCAAATAGAAATCATGCCTGCACTTATGGATTTAGTTAGTGAGTTCCACGAAGATCTAGCACTTAACTACTATGTCAGTAAGGGGTTGATTAGAAAGATGAAGACGTGTGTGTATGTATGGAAAGATCCTATGACAGTAAAGCAGTACAACCCTGTTAGACATTAGTAGTGCTTTAGGTGGAATTCGCGTCATAAGAGAAAATAGGTTCGTAAGGGTTGGTGCAGTAGTTTACTTATTCCTTAGGTAATTTTTTCTCCAAGTCTAAGTTGTCTTTGTCGGATATCCTACGGCTTATGCACTGTTGGATTTTGCAAAGGCCTGTAAAGTCAGCAGCAGCAGCTGAGACGGAAAATAGCCTAGTCTCTAAAGTGAAATGGTATCAGCATTGTAAAGACAGCATCATGAAAATTAGAGAGGATTACAGGCTGTGTCGGAGGAGTAGGATTAGTTGTTCACATTGATGAAGCTGTCCTCATAAAGAAGAAGTACAATAGGTGGAGGGAGAGAAGGGCTAATCAAATCTGGGTGCTTAGAATATACGACACTCCACTTCTCAAGGGTTTCCGGGAAACAGTACCCTATGGAAGTGCTTTAGTGTTAACTCCAATCATTCAGCGCCTGGCAATGCCACAAAAACCTATACAAACAGATGAATGGAGGGGGATAATTACCAGTTGTCATCTTTGGGTTATATTCAACAACTTGTCAACCATTGCTCTGACCTTGTGGGTCCAACCACAGGCATGCACACTAATTCCACTGAAGGATTTCGGGTCCGGGTGAAAAACAGAATCAAGAATGTCAGTGAATCTCAAAGTGCCATGATTTGCAGCCACATCGATGAATACATGTTTTGAGTTTGGTACAGTTTCTTTGCGGATTATCCTGGGAGAAACTGGGAGACATTTTGATAACATATAACAGACCATTATCCAGCCCAATATTATTTTAACACAGTTTTTAACACGTTTTTTTAATGATTATACTACTTTTAGGCATCTAAATCCTGATTGGTTGTTCTACGTCACTGAGATTTTTAGCTATGATAGTTAAACTTCGTCACATTATTAACTTAGGTTAGAGAGATGTAATGTAATGAGCACCAGTTTTTGTTTTACTATCAGTTGTTCAATTTTGAATGACACTGGACTATCTATTTCTTGATCAGATGCCTTTAACATTTCAGTCACTTAATTCAACCTACTTACATTACAGAAGTGGAGTACTGTTTTTTTAATAACAATAATTCTCACTAGTAACTGGCTACATGACGAAGTCTCCTGGAGTTACAGTGAGTAGCAAGTTAGGTCTAGTATGA